TAGAATTCTGCTGTGATTCTGTCTGGCTTTGGAGTTCTTTTTCTATTAAACAGGAAGGTTTTTATTAGTATTTCATTGTCCTCATCTGTTGTGGGTCTGACTTCTTGGTTTAATTTTTGTAGTCTGTTTGAATCTAGAAATCCAGTCATTTTAGGTTTTCCAGCTTAATATGAAGTACAGGTTATTTTTTCTTTAAAAAACTACTCCCTTATAATATTATGGATTTCTTTGTTGTCTGATATGTTTCTCTATTCATTTCCGATTTTTGTTAACTTGGATCCTCTCTTTCCTTTTGGTTAGTTGAGCCAAAGATCTGTCAGTTTTGTTTATCTTCTCAAAGAACCAGCTCTTAGAGCCATTGTTTCTTTGTTTCTATTACATTGATTTCAGGTTCTTATTATTTCTTGCTGTCACCTGGATTTGAATTTGATTTGTTTTTGTTTATCCAACATTTTAGTTCAACTCTTTCTGATTTTTTTAATATAGGCACTTAGATTTAGAAATTTTCCTCATATAACTGCTTTCACTATGTCCCAGAGGTTTTGTTGTATTGTTTTCATTTTTATTTAGTTCCATGAAGTTTTTTTATTTCTTGATTTCTTCTTTGACTTATTCATCATTCAGTAATGAGTTGTTTAATCTCTATGAATTTGTGTATTTGCTACAGACTTGTTTGCTGTTGATTTTAATTTTTATTGTATTGTGGTGAGATAGCATAAAAGAGTGGTTTCTAACTTTTTGATTCATAAAGATTTGTTTTGTGTAGCAGATTGTGGTCTGTTTAGAAAAGCTTCCATGTGCTGCTGTGTGTTCGGTATTTGAAAAAATTCCATGGATTTTTGTTAATTCCATATGTATATCAATTAATTCTGATGTTCCGTCTTTATTTTTTATCCAGATGATCCATCTGTTAGAGAAATTGGGGTATTGAAATAGAGTACTCATTATTAATGAATGTTAAGCCGTGTCTCTAAGCCCAGTAATAGATTTTTAATGAAATTGGGTGCCTCAGAGTTTGATACATTATAAAACAGTAATGTCATCTTGGTTAGCTGTTCCTTTGGTTAGAATGAAGTGACCCTCTGTCTCTTCTGATTAGTTTGAGTTTGAAGTCTGTGCTCTCATATATTAGTGTAATGGTGCTTACTTCCTCTCCCATTTGATTGGCGTACTCTTAATCATACTTTTACTTTAAGGTGGTGCCTTTTTTTTTTTAAGCTGAGATGTGTTTGTGTTTTCTTGGTCATGGATGGGGAGAATAACCTTCAGCTCTTTTCTCCTTAATTTCCTTGAGTTTGTTTCTTTATGTCTTCTTCAGACCCCCTGAGTTCTTTGAAGTTCCTATTATTGTTGATGTTGGAGTTGTATCCTGGAGTTTGTCTAGGTAATTCTCATTGGTAAACATTTCTATGGGACTTGTAGGTTTTAGAGAGAGGATATTGACCTGATCTTTCATATTGTTGGCATTTTTGTGATGAGATCTGCACACATGGACGTCTTTTGTTAGTTCTGAGTCTGTTATGGATAAACCAGGTTTGGGGCCAATGAGAGGATATACAGGTGATTTGGCCCTAGAGATTGGATATGTCTTAGATAGAATGAAGTTAAGCGGGGGATGGTCCTGGTCCCACCCTGGAGTGTGGGGCTAGACCTGACTGGATGGAAAGATAGGATATGGTGTGGGAGCATCCTGTGGTTTTGGGGGATAAGTGGAGAGGGTCCTGGCCAAAACCTCGAAGTCCGTTTTTGGTACAGGCAGGGGAGGCCAGACTAGGCTGGTGCACTATATGTTGGACCCAGGCTAGATCTGGCAGGTTGCATAAAAGGTTTGTTTGGGGATATCAAGGAGATGCACCAGTCAAGACCCTGGAGGAGGACCTGGGGAGGTCTGTATGCCAAGTGGGCTGATTGCAAGTGGTACAAGAGGAACCCATGGGTAGTTACAGGCAGGACAAGTCCTGGGGAAAACCTAGAGGTTGGCTTTGTCATGGATAAAGGTGGTTAGATTAGGCAGGGGCATGGAGCTTGGGTCCTGCACAGTCAGTGGGTACCTAGACTAAACTGGGCCACTGGTTGCGTACCTGGGCTAGATCTTGTGGATTGTAGTAAAAGCATAAATAGAGGGATTGGGAAGAGGGAGGGGGATGACACTTGCTGGGCTAGATCCTAGAGGAGAAAGTGAGAATTCTCTTTGCCTCTTTGCATGCTTTTAAGAATGGTTTTCTTGAGATAAAATTCATGTAATTGAAATGTTTAAAGTGCAAAACTCAGTGATTTTGATTATTTATAGAGATGGAGATGTCAATACAGTCGCCCTGCACCCTTGACTGTCTCCCCAGCTGGCTAGCCCCAGCTCCAGGTGTCACAGGTATTGTAGTAAGCTGTTCTGTGTCCCTTAAAATCGGCCTTTGTAAGTGTTTCAGGCACCAACTTCCCTGACAGCTCTTTCTGGTGCTGTATTTCTTACTCTGGCCCTCTACTTCTGTGGCTGCCTACCAAAAGCTGTTTTCTAGAGATACCAGGATCTATCTGTGACTATGTCCCAGAAAGTTCCAGTTGATCTCTAGTATGTAGTACAGGGCCATGCAAAGTAAGTCTGGCAGAAGTTTCCTGAGTGACCAGTGATGCCAGTGAGGACTTGAACCAGGATGGTCTGGGTTTTGAGGCTATTTACACCAATTACTAAGATCCCCATTGTCCCCTTTGGGGAAGGTCACATAGATATACCTAATCTAATGTCACCTAAAGTCCTGCAGCCATAAGCCAAAAAGATGCCATACAATCAAACTGGGTAGCCTGTTGATGAGACACTCAAGATGGAGGCCATGCTCCACAGGGTTTAGGGAGCCATCTCACCCAAGCTCTAATTTTCCTATGCTGTGGATGGTCTGCTTACAGTGTGCATTCATCATGTTTACAGGGAGAAGGGAACATGTTCAGCTGGCTGGGCACTGCTAGTGTCCATTTAGCTCTTGGGCCTTCGCCAGTACTCCTGCATTCCATCAAAGCAAGGTTCTGTCATTCTCCAGCAGCCTGCCCCTATCCCAGCTCACATCTCTTTCTGCCCACTCTCCTCAGGGGAAAAGTCATAGTTGAATTTTTTGAGGGTGGGGTGGGGAGGACGTTGTTAAAGACTCTTATAAAGAAGCCAAGAAATGGGAGGATTCTTTGCTTTTTGTGGAGGCTATCTGACCCTGCAGCAAGCAGATTGCCCTCTCTTGAGTCACAGATTCCACAGCTAAATGGCGTGACCTGATGGGGCCTCCCGGTTTGCAGAATGTTAAATAAAAAATATATTAAGAGAGTCTCCCTTCTCCATGGCTCATTCAGAGATCATCGTGTGATGCAGTAGGAAGGTTTGGATTTTCTTGTCACTGCCCCCCAAATGGCAGAAGGTACATTGGTTCAGTTGTCCCTTTGCCAACCTCTTCTCACCAACTGAATGTAGTCGTATTCTTGTTAAGAGTTACTTATTAAGTCTCATTCTTTTTTTTTTAATATTTATTTATTACATATACAATATTCTGTCAATGTGTACGCCTGCAGGCCAGAAGAGGGCACCAGACCCCATTACAGATGGTTGTGAGCCACCATGTGGTTGCTGGGAATTGAACTCAGGACCTTTGGAAGAGGAGGCAATGCTCTTAACCGCTGAGCCATCTCTCCAGCCCTTAAGTCTCATTCTTATTAAGCACCTTGTACTCCTTTTGCCAGGGTCTCTGGTGGGCGATGCATTGGACAATCAAAGTATAACTATGCCTAACATTGGTTGAGGTTTTATAGGCCAGACAAAATGCTTGATGTTTTTTCTTTATGTAGTTTTATTGATGTAAAATTCACCCCTTTAAATTGTAGTGTTCTAGCTTTAGCATATCCATAGTACTCTGCAGCAATCTTTAGTATTCTCCCAGAAGATTTTTATCACTTTCCAAAGAAACCCAGTGCCGTTTCCTCTTGCTCCTGGGTGACTGTTTAATATACTTTCTATTCTGTGGATTTGTCTGTTCCAGATAGTTTGTGTAAATGGGATTCTATAATATGTAGGCCTTTCTGTCTGACTGCTTTCAATTATGCAATGTTCTTGAGGTTCACATGCCTTTTGTGTTTATCGAAACCTCTGTCTGTGTCATGCTGTGCAGTCATTGTGTGGGTGGACTACAGATATTCAGCCGTTTACCGGTTTGTGGGCATTTTATTTGTAGCACCTTGGATAATCGGGAGCAGTGCTCTTAGGATGCTGCAGTGCAGGTTTTCATTTGTGTGCTTTTCTCACACGCTTATTATCTAGCAGTGGGATTGCTGGGGCTCACAGTAGCTGTATATTCAACCTCTTCCAAACTGCCAGGCCGTTTTCCAGGTGCATCATTTTGCCTCCCTGTACTAATTTGTTTTGTTGAGACAGTCTCCCTCTGTAGTCCAGGCTGATTTGGAATTTATGGTGATTCTCTTGCCTCAGCCTTCCCGGTGCTATGATTACAGGCATAAAAACCTCACCTGGTTTCCATGCTGATTTTCAACTACATTATCACAGAAGCTTCATGAGGTAGAGTTAAAACTGTTGATGTCGTGCCTTTCAGCAGCTCAGTGGCAAAGCCCAGAGCTTTCCCCTTACCCTTGATTGCACATAGGCGCTGATGAATATTTGACCAGTTTCAAATCTCTACCAGGCTTTGCTTTACATCCTCAGGATGGGAGTTTGGGGCTGTATCATTTACAGTATTCCTGATGCTCAGTCAGGCCCCATTCATTGACTAAAATGTCACCCTTTCCCGTCTTGGTGTCTTTAGGGTTCTTTTACTTTGTGTGTTTTCAGATGCCTTCTGGGTTCTGTGTTCCCCTAAGCATACTGTGTAATCCTGTAACCTTCTAAATTAGGCACCTGTTTTAGATATGTAGCCTGTGTTGGGGAGTGGTAGATGACGTTCTGTTTGTCAGTCTTCCCTGCTCTCTTGTCTTTGGTCCCATGCTGCTGATAACCTTCCATCCTTTTTCTCTTCTAGGCTAAACCCATTTATGGTGGCTGGCTGCTCCTGGCTCCAGATGGCACTGACTTTGATAACCCAGTGCACCGGTCTCGGGTAAGGATACCTGAGAAAATTCTTAAGAGTGGGAAAAACTAGGAGGTTCATTTGAGAGCAAAATTGGTTAAAAAAAAAAAAATTAGGGAGGGAAACACTGGAACCTGAGTGACAAAGTCAGCAGGGATCCAACATTTTGTAAACTCTGAAGTCTCAGAAAGTTCTATTTGCATATATAGAGTCCTTGTTTCAGAATGTGCCATTCTTGTATGGGTGTCACCTGTTGTGGGTCATCTGGACTCTGAAAATAGTCAAATGGAAAAGACAAAAACAGCTAAGTACATCCTTGCAGCATGTTCTCCTAGCTCCCCGGTCCTTGAGAACCAAGGCAGTTTCTTCTGAACTGGGGACTTAGCACTGTGAGTCCTGATAAAGGGCTGAGGCTTGGACACCCTTGCTCTCTGACTTGCTCTCAGACACTGTCCTGTCTTCTGGATATGGTCTCTTCTGGAGCTAAAGGGTGAATAAAGACACTCTTTGTTGACCAGAGGCTTGCTTATTAACCCTGAACAATCCATCAGGGATTTAGCCCCAATGAGGGCATCTTTTCCATACACTTTTTCCTAGTTGTACTTAAGACAGTTGCCCTAGCTCTTCTCATCCCTTCTCACCTAGGTAGGGCCTCATGACTTCATGCTCTGGCCTACAGAACTAATAGCATTGTGTTTCTGGTCCTTGGGCTTCCTTCTGGAGTAAATTCTGATTTCAAAGATAACACATAGGAACCTTGGAAATGTTTTTGGAAAACAGGTGCCAGTAGCCTGTTTTAGAACTCCAGCCTGGAAGCAGCCCTAGCAGGTCCTCTCTGCATAGCCCCATAAGTCTTGTTTTTACCCCATAGTGGCCAGTGGTTCCAGCTAGAATGCATTACACAGGGAGCCAAGTGCCTTTCCTGGTCTCTGTGAATCAAAAATGCCATTTTTTTTTGGCTGCAATGAAAAAAAAATTTTTTTAAAAATTTATTTTTCTTGCCTAGAGCAAAGAAAAATACATTGTAGTTAATTCTGTGGCTTTTCTTTTCTTTTTCTTTTTTTTTTTT